TTATAAATTTATTTACTTACTATTTCTTGAAGACCTACTATGGGAAAGATACTATGGGTAGACCAAAAAACCTAAGATTTGATTCTTGCATATATCATTGTGACAACTGCAATAGAATTTCAACAAATATCTGTTACCAACATTGTCTCTACTTCAAATCCATTATTCACACAGCAGTGAGAGTAACCTTTTGTTATTTTTCCCGAAAGATTTATTTTATGGCAGAGTAAAAGAGAGATCTTGTATCCATGGGTTCAGTCCCCCAGTGTGTGAAGAAACAGCTGGGGCTATGCCACAATGAAGCCAGAAGCCAGGAATTCCATCTGGTTCTCCCATGTGAGTGGCAGGAATTCATGTATTTTAGCAATCATCACTGCTTTCCAGTCACATTAACAGGGAGCTGGAATGGAAGTGGAATAGCCAAGATTTGAACCTACACTCTGATATGAGATATGGGACTCTCAAACCACAGTTTAACCTTCTGTGCCACAATACCCACCCCAGAGTAATTGTTTTACATTATATATCCTATCTCAGTAATTCTCCTTGTTTAAAAAAAGCTTGAAGCTGGGCCAGCATTGTGGCATAGGGGGTTAAGCCACTGCCTGCAATACCAGTATCCCATATGAGCACCAGTTCATATCCCAGAATTTCCACTTCCCATCCTTGATAATGTCCTAGGAAAGTAGTGAATGATGGCCCAAAAGGTTGGGACCTTGCCCTGGCTGTTGTGGCCATTTAGGGAGTGAACAAGACTGCCCTGCCCGTATTCCCCTCTGTACTTACACTCTGAATCCCTTTACCTCAAACCTACAATGCCCATTTTTCTGCTCTCAAATCTCTGCTATAATTTACCTGCAGCTGAGAAGAATTGAGTAGAAAATACATGCTCTTCCCCTACTGTCCCAATTTGCCAGCGTCTTAATCCAACAGAAAATGTTAATCAGAAAACCTGGAGGTATGCAATCTGGGTCAAATTATCAGGAGGAATAAATTCCTACTGATGTAGCTCTATTGAAGAATTCTGCATCGTGTTCTTTGTTAACATGGAAGCTGATTTCTTTAGCCTTCTCCCTCCCGTCGGGATCCACACTAGCTAGAATCCTAGCTAGAATTCCTCCTTTGGAATCAACAGCTCATAATTATTTATTTATTTATTTATTTGACAGGTAGAGTTATAGGCAGTGAGAGAGATAGAAAGACAGAAAGAAAGATCTTCCTTCCGTTGCTTCACTCCCCAAATGGCCACTACGGCCAGCACTGTGCTGATCCGAAGCCAGAAGCCAGGTGCTTCTTCCTGGTCTCCCATGTGGGTGCAGGGCCCAAGCACTTGGGCCATCCTCCACTGCCCTCCCAGGCCACAGCAGAGAACTGAACTGGAAGAGGAATGACCAGGACTAGAACCAGTGCCCATATGGGATGCTGGCGCCGCAGGTGGAGGATTAACCAAGTGAGCCATGGCTCCAGCCCAACAGCTCATAATTATTGTCCATTACTCTGTTGGGGAAGCAAGGATGGGAGGGGGACAAAAGAAGAGGTGGGAGAAAAGAAGGGAAAAAAGTAAAAGTACCAGATTGAAAAGTAGGAACAAATGAGTGGGGGGAGAGGGGCAAAAATTACCTTAGGAAAAAAAAGAAGTCAACTCCTTAATCCTTTAAGGAAAGGTCTTTCCTTGATCGATCATTATTGCCCTCACTCCAGAGCTCTAGAAACATATTCCAATGACAGGGATGGGTTGCACGGTGGGGCACAGTTGAAGGGGCAGTGACAGCCCTACTTGTCTAACAGCAACCTCCCTACCCCAACTTCTGATCCAGCGAAGTTCTGCCCATTGCCAAGAATCAGCTTCATAGAGGAAACCACTCAGGGCCAAGGCTCAGAAAAAACCAAAGACCCCACACTTCCGTGCCTATTAAGCCTCTTAGAAATCAGGATGCTGCTGCAGAAAGTGATATTGTGCCCAAGCTACTTATCAAGAACACAAAGGTGGAGACCAGTGTTGTGGCACAGCAGGTGGGACTACTGCCTGCAATGCTGGCATTCCGTTGAGCACCATTTTGAACCTTGACTACCTCACATTTGATCCAACTCCCTCTATTGTGCCTGGGAAGGGAGTAGACACTTTCCAAGTGCTTGTACCCCCTGCTTCTCATGTGGGAGACCCAGATGGAGCTCTGGACACCTAGATTTAGCTTGGCCCAGCCCTGGCCATGGTGGCCATTTGGAGAGTGAATCAGCAGATGGGATACCTCTCTCTCTCTCTCTCTCTCTCTCTCTCTCTCTCTCTCTCTTATCATTGTAACTGCCTTTAAGGAAATAATTTAAAAAGATATTTAAGAAACAAGAACACAAAGATGCAAAGTCAGGAGACAGCCTGGGGGTTTGGAGCATCTATGGAAGAGGATGGATCTTGGAATGAGAGCAAAAGTAGGCAGCCATGACAGCAGCGCTCATTAAGGCTTCAAGTAGAGATTTAGAAGAATACTTTCAAAATGTACAAATGAGATCTAAATGGGATAACTGCAAGTTTTTCTTAGGATACTGAGGAAAACACAGTCTTTGCTTTGGTTTTGGATTTTACCTATTTATTTTTTCATTTAATTTGAAAGGTAGGGAGATAGAGAAAGAGAGAAAGACATCTGTTGGTACCTCTAAATGCCTAAAACAGCTGTGCCAGGCTCAAGCCAGGGGCCTGGAACTCCATGCAGGTCTCCCAAATGAGTGGCAGGAAGCCAAGCACTGTAGCCATCACTTGCTGCCTCCCAGGGTGCACGTTAGCAGGAAGTTTGATGAGAAGTGAGAATCAGTGGTACCTGAACAACTACACCAAAGATCCACCCAGGGAAACACATTCTTAAACTTTATTTAAGGACAATTAATAGAAAAGGAAAAAAATAAAGCAGCCTGCAACAGTTCCCGCCTACCTCAAAAATCCCCCAATAATTCTAGCCCTTCTATCATTCCCTCATATTCTCTCTAAAGGCAAAGGTAAAGAACAAACAGTCCTTAGGCTTGGTATCTGACGGCTGCCGAGGCAGAGGCAATGACTATGACTAATCAAGCTTTTTGTCCCCTTAAAATTCCCTGTGGTTTACTTACTGCCATTGCCCAGTTGGGAGCGCATTGGCACATTCTATTTGTTTCCACCGTATGCCTTGTAGGATGGTTCACAGAGTGAGCTCTAAAGTCATTCCTGCTCCTACCACTAGAAAACTGGAGCCATGAAGGAAAGACAGGTAGGTACTAACTCCTGAGAATCAATTGGAATTTTGGAGGGCCCAGAGAAAGGCCTGTCCCAAACCACACAAACCCATAAGAGACCAGGACTTGTCAGAGTCTGTCCCTGTAATGTACTCAACAGCAGAAGTGAGGGGAGAAGTGTTGTTCAAGAAGACTTCAACTCTGTGCCCAACCCTCGCAGTATTAATTATAGCTCACATTTATAAAATGTTTCCTTTGTCCCACACATGATTTCTAGGACTGTACCTGATGTTACAGTAACCCACTTAGTGTTATAACCACTCTCAGAAATTGGTAGATACTAAATCATCTTGCCACATCCCATCAAGGGGTGCATTTTGCCAACCTTTTGATAAAGATTACAGCTAGTAATTCACAGGGAATGCACCAGAAATCTGGAAAAATGATGAATAAGACACAGTCCCTAACTCAAGGAACCCATTCGGGAATGCACTAAAATCAGATTGTATCTTCTGGCCACCATCCTATAGGAGACTCCTGCAATTTTTTCAAGGGTGGGCCAGTCTGACACAAATATACCCTTGTACAGTGTCTGGGGGCCTGGAATTTGGGTAGAATGATTTAAGCTGCTATTTCTGACACTGACATCTCTCATCAGAGTGCTAGTTGCAGTCCTGGCTGTTCCATGCTTCCAATTCAACTTTCTCCTAAGATGCCCAGAAAAGACTAGAAGATAGCCCAAGTAAATGAGCCCTAGCCACCCATGTGGAAGATCCAGCTGGAGTTCCTGGCTCCTAGCTTCACTCTGGCTCAGTCCTGGCTACTGAAGCCAGGGGGTTAGTAAGCCAATAGATACAGGATCTCCATGTCTGTCTTTTGTCCTCTCTCTGTCACTGTGACTTCAAATAAATAAATAATTGAAAACAGCAGAGTCCAACACTCAGTGAACAGAGAGAAGTATCACTCTTACTCTGATTATCTCACAAATTTGACCCCTAAGGCTCCCTCTCCTAGGGTTTTCTTCTTTCTCATGGACCCTACAGTCACACTGTCTGGGTTTGACTCTCATCTATGCTACTTCTTGCTTGTGTGACAAAGAGAACTTTGCTTTTAGATGCTGTGGCTCAGTTTCCACAATTATACCTGGACATACAAAACACCTATCTCATAAAGAAGATATAAAGATGAAATAAATGATTACCTTCAATGCACTCAGAATAGTATCTGCCATGAAGCAGGTGCCTCAAAGGGAGTGGCTCTGCTTCTGTCTTTACTGCTCTCATTTCAATTGTAATAAAAAGACTGGATTTAAGAGCATCTGTGTGGTTAGGAGGACAGAAATTCTCTGGGACTAAACAGGAGAACAGTTCCCCTAGGAAATCGGGGGTGGTTCTTTAACCTGGGCTACAATGTAGATATCTAATCCTGTCAAGTCCCTTCCTGACCCCAAGACTCAGTGCCTCTAACTCCAATACGATCTCCATCTCACAAAATGTAGGGCAGAAGAAGTCAGAGGGGAAGCAGGGCTGCTCCTGGGGGATGGTTAATAATGAAGGCAGGAGAAGCAGCTAGGCCAGCACAGGAAAAGGATTTTTAGCCTTTCTCCCTCCATTTCCACATGTCCATGGTGGGTGCTTCCAATATTTGGATAAAGCCTGTTTCAATTTCAGAAACAGGCTACCCAATAAACAACCTGGGGCCACTGACCAGAAAGCATTCTGGAGAATCTCCCATGGGAAGGGTTCCAGAAACTGCCTGGACTACTTAATGCCATGGTGCCCACAGCAGGCATCACTCACCAGATGTGGACACAACAGCTGGATGAACCACAGAGCCTCTGCTTGGGAAATGCTGAGTGCTTCACAACCTTGAAAAGGAGATGAGAAATGTGGACTGAGAGGACAACTGTGCAAATGCCTGAGTGTCCAGGGAAAAGCTAGGTCCCAGTGAACATGCTTCCCCTCCTAAGTCCCTACTCCCCAACAGTCCCTTCCCACACCTTATGCTCCTAACTCCCCCATTCACCACCTGCACCTCCTGCTGGGCCCAATGCCTCAACTCTCTCTTGCCCTTCACCACATCTCCCACTCTCTGCTCAGAAGACAGGCAGGAAACTGACGTGGGGGGTGGTCCTTAGTATGACTTGGGGTCACTGGGAAGAAGGACATAGGGCACATGGACCCTCCCACCCCTGGTTACCCTCCCGAGACCACCATGCTCCCACAGGGAGATAATGATGTCACCAGCATCTCTGAAAGCACTTGCAGTCCTCATGGAGGGCAGAGGTTGGGGGATCTTTGATAGGCGAGCATGCTGACGTCACTCCACATCCTCACTTCTGCAGACTGGTCCTGGCACTTCTCGCACATCTTTCTGCCAACGATCAACTTCCAGCCACCCTTCTGCCTGGTGATAAAAGGGTGCATGGTGGACATCAATAATCACCAACCCAGATAATTTCTACATGACAACTATTGAGAATAGGGGATATGGGAGAAAGTCCAGCTGCTATATTTTCTCACACAGAGCCAAGTCAAGCTAGACCAGATGGTTCTACAGCCATAAGGGACTGCTATGGTGCAACTTGGCTCCCCTGTTAGCTGTGCAAGCATTTCTTCATTCCTATAAAACAAACCCCACAGCAGCCAGAGAAGTATGCATGACTGTGTTTAGAGTGAACAACCAGAAACCACCACATACATCATAAGAGTTCCTGCCTCCCTGGAGAGAGAGAGGGGAAAAGGCTCAGGGAGCACCCTGGAGCAGCTGAGCCAGAGTAGGGCTAGGTCTGCACACTCAGGACAGGTCCTGTTACCAAGTGATTTACTGACCCTTCACAGTGATCTCCTGCTCCAGCTGCAATCCAGAGAGGGAGCCTGGTGATCTTGGCACTGCCCCCATTCTCCCCAGAAACAGCAATTCTAGGGGCCAGTACTGTGGCATAGCAGGTAAAGCTACTGCCTGCAGGTTCAGCATCCCATGTGGGTACCACTTCCGATCCAGCTCCACTTCTGATCCAGCTCTCTGTTACGGCCAGGGAAAGCAGTATAAAATAGCCTAAGTCCTTGGGCCCTGTACCCGCGTGGGAGAACCGGAAGAAGCTCCTGGCTCCAGAACGGCGCAACTCCGGCCACTGCAGCCATCTTGGGAGTGAACCAGCAGATAGAAGACCTGTTTTTCTCTCTCTCTCTCTGCCTTGGCCTCTCTGTGACTCTTTCAAATAAATAAATAAATAAATCTTTTTTTAAAAAAAGCTCAAATTAGTGTTCCCCCAATTTCAGGTCCAAAGCTCTTATACAGTATCCCCTATGTCCTGACACCATCAGCATGATGTCAACCAGGCTTCTGCTCATTTCAGGCTGCCCATGGCCTGGATAGGGTCAGCTGGTTGTATCATTGAGGACCCTATGTCCTCAATGATACATTCCCTTATAATGACACATATCCTGTAGCCAGCATCGTAATATAGCAGGCTAATCTGACACCTGCAGTGCCTGCAATCACATGAGTGCTGGTTGGAGTCCCAGCTGCTCTATTTCCCATATAGCTCCCTGCTAACATGCAGGAAAAGCAGTGCAAGAGACCCTGGCACGCATTTGGGAGACCTGAATGGAGTTCCTGGCTCCTGGCTTTAGCCTGGTCCAGCCCTGGCTACTACAGCCATTTGGGGAGTCTAGCGGTGGATGGGAAGATTTCTCTCTCCCTCTCTGTAACTACCTTTCAAATAAATAAATCATCTTTTAAAAATAGACATACCTCCAAGTACAAAATAAAACCCCCCTACTCAGGGCTTTTGGGTCCTGAGAAGGACTTTACAAACATACCACAGACAAGAGCAAAGCAGACAATTTGCCTGAAAACGAAGAAGGCCAAGGAAAAAGGGCCAAGCAAAGCCACTTAGGGCCTCTGCACAGTGCTCATACCTGGAGTGATTTAGACAGGCATTGGGAGTTCTGGTGCCCTTGACCCTGGAGTGAGTGCACACATTAGGCAACTCCAATTCAGACTGAGTTTAAGCTGGCAGGCTGGCCAAAGACTGTCACCCAGGCAGGAATCTGAAAACAGAGGTGATCTAAAGAGATCCATCAGGAAATGCACATGACAGGAGTCAGAGTGGTAAGAGGGTAATAAATTCATGGATTCTAACCCAGGGCAGCAGAAAATTCCTACCTTCCCTTTTATTATGAAGCTTCCTTATGGAGGAAATGTTGATTTTAAGGGCCCTGGGAAACACATCTATGGACACTTCATATGTAAGTCACACTGCTGTGTGATCTGCCTATAAATGATAGCCTCCTTTCCCTGCATAGGCACCCTTGGGAACTGGCTCAGGGAGTGACCACGATCAGGAATCACTGCAGTTCCCTTCCTTGGGAATTATGCAGCATCCAAGAATGGCTTCTTATACAACACTCCTCCCAATTTACAGTTGGTCCTGTAGAGGCTTCTTTTCTCCATACAACCCAAACCTGCCTTGGGAACCACCTGTGATGCCGGGTGGATGGACAGGCAAACCAACTGGCATCATCTACCAGGAGAAGATAATTTACCCAAATTGCTATTTTTTATTCTATTGAAAAATGCAAACTGAACCACAAGGAAATCCAGTCTATCAGTCCCCAGGCTGAAGCAAAGGGTGCATGGAGCAAGTCCAAAGACTGCATGTCCCTCTCCCCAATGTGCCCACCTATGCACCTATCTGCATATCCACATAGGAATGCACAGCATGAGTGTGGGTTTGGGTTTGTGTGTGTTTGTGCAAAAGTAAAAACTGTCAGTGCCTCCATTAAAAAACTGACTGTAGTGACCACAAACTCAGTCATAAAGCTGCTCTAGGCAAGGAACACATACACACATCCCCATTCTCACTCCTCTCTCAAATGTCCACAAGACTCTGAATTTAAGAATTTACTACTGCATTAGACCATTTTTCTACATCTTATGAAAAATATTTATGAGAACAAAGTGAGTTAACTGCATCAGAAACTGTATGATATTGCTCCAGATTTTAAAAAAATCCTAAAATATACATGATTAATATTAGCAACCTACAAAGATGTCCTGTGTCTTAATATTTTGATCTTTAGAACACATTCTAACCTCCATTCTTGCCTCCCTTCCCTGCCCCCAATACCACTAGTCAGGCCCTGAAGCTCTCTCTCCCTGTGGTAGCACTCTTGTAGACTGGCGTTTGACTATATGAAAAGTATTCCCGTGTCAAAACAGTTTTGTAGGGAGGCCCTGAATGCCATGTAATGGGAATACATATTTAATGGAACAGCAGGAGGTATATCTACATAATGTAGACCGCAAACATTCCAAACAAGTCAGTGTAAGGCAGGAGTCAACAAAACTGCTACTGATTTTGTCTAGTGCCCCTTAAATCCTTTCCTACAGAAAAATGATTGATCTCACTTTCCAAACACCCGAATTCTAAAACGCCAATGCTCTAGCACCAAGGAACAGGAGCCAGGTGACAAACCCAGGGTGGCTTCAGGGTGACAGTTTCCTCCTCACTTTGCACATTTGCTTCTTGTTGCAGACTGATCAACCAAGACAACTCCAGAGACCATTATTGTGCACAAATACCCTCAATCACAGACATGCCATAGGCTCCCTGTGTGGGCACCGGAAGACCCAGAACACAGAGTACTCACTAAGGGAGGAATACTTAGAACAAAGGGGAGGAGATGCCAATTTAAGTATCTAACTCAATTGGAAACAAAGAAGTTTCCCCACACTTCTGATGAGATTTTGCTTAAGGAAACAGACTCATTGAACTTTTTTCTGCGCCAGAATATTCCTGTGTGAAGGACCCCTCTCTATGGGGGACGAAAAGTGGGGAGGGACTCCGTGTCATGGCAGTTGCTAGGTTGGCTGATGTCTCTTCTGGTCCTCAATGGAAGCAAATAAATGGACAGCCTCTACCACTGTGACTCTGCAATTTGAATTTGAGGGAACCAACTGACGGCAGAGGTGTAGTAAGGAAGGTACAAAGAAGTGCCTGGCACCCACCTTACTAAGGGTACTTAGAGACAAAGGTGTGGGAACCACTGGTAAGTGGAATACACACATCACTGTCTACCAAGACAGATACACCAGGCCGGCGCTGTGGCGTAGTGGATAAAGCTTCTGCCTGCAGTGCCAGTATCCCCTATGGGCACCGGTTCAAGTCCTAGCTGCTCTTCTTCTGATCCAGCTCTCCCCTGTGGCCTGGGAAAGCAGCAGAAGATGGCCCAAGTGCTTCGGCCCCTGCACCCATGTGGGAGACCCAGAAGAAGCTCCTGGCTCTGGATTGATGCAGCTCCAGCCCTTGAAGTCAATTGGGGAGTGAACTAGCAGATGGAAGACCTCTCTCTCTCTCTCTCTCTCTCTCTCTCTCTCTCTCTCTCTCTCTTTCTCTCTGCTTCTCCTCTCTCTGTGTATAACTCTGACTTTCAAATAAATAAATAAATATTAAAAAAAGGACAATTACATTAAAGGGTCATGGTTGCTGACAAGGGCTGAATGCATCAAGGCTGGCCTCAGCCATGGATGTCAAAACTATCACGGCTGGGGATGACAAAGGGGTGGGAAGGTAGGACACGTTGTCTGTCTCGAAGGTGCCCAGGGTAAGTAAGTCCATCAAAGTCTCTTTCAATGCCCAGTGTCACACAACAAGCAGTCTTCCCAGGAGAGAGGCCAAGTGGAATCTTGTAGCAAGGCAATGATCATTTCAGGGGAATCATCCCTTTTGCAGACCAAGCAGAACCAACAAAGAGAAAAAGAGGCAGGTAGAAAGCCAGGGGGAGGGAAAAAAATGGGAAATCCCAAGTGGCTGAGCCTCCATATTTCTGGCTTCCAGATGCTAAGGTGAGAGACATCACAGGAGCTAGTGGGGCAGTACCAACAGGCCATCACCATTCAGGAAAATCCAGACAGTGTCCTGGGAGCTACACACAGCTGACTTTGGTCTGCACACATTCCAGGTAAAGTACACCTTAGTCAAACAAAGGAAAAAACTACAAAACTCTCCAAATACACTATTCCCTGGGGAAATGAAGGCCAGGTCACTTGGTAGAAGTGTGTGTATGTGTTTGTGTGTCTGTGTACCAGGAATGATGTTTTTAAAAACATTACTCATATGGCCAGCGCCGTGGCTCAATAGGCTAATCCTCCACCTGCGGCGCCAGCACACTGGGTTCTAGTCCAGGTCGGGGTGCCGGATTCTGTCCCAGAATTAACTTCAGCTGTTAGTCCTTTGTGATTTGTCACTGCTTCTGCTGTGGAGAGTGCTCCCCTAGTGCTAACTTGGAGTATTGCTGTTGGGTTCTATTTTTTGTTTTTGCTTGCTGTGTAAAATTTACACAGTACTTTAAAAAAAAAAAAAGGTTTATTTATTTATTTGAAAGTCAGAGTTACA